TTAAGTAAATCTCTTTGAATTATTAGGGGTCAGTGCCTTTTTTAAACTGAGTATTCACTTATCGCTCTTCCTACTAGTTTTAATCAACAGCAAAAGATTTGAGTTAGCATACATTGCTGAGTTCTGAACTCTTGCAACATTTATTTTGTAATCTAAGAAAATTCTCAGGAAGAGTGTGGCTAGTCTTTGTAACTGCAGTTTACCTTTTTTTATATTAGGCTAGATCCATGCTGAAATTTCACCCGTTTCACACTCAGGCTCCTTTTCATTCTAAGACTTCTCAGGGGAGCCGCACTTTTCTTTTTCTTGGAACACTTAGGCATCCAACTGAGCCAAAGAGTCACATTCAAAATAATATTAACAAAAGCCCTTTGTTTTGGCAGGATAATCCTTCAAAAACAGCTTCAACTCTACGAGGCAATTTCTACATCACTGGGGACAGAGGGTATATGGATGAAGATGGGTATTTCTGGTTTGTTGCAAGATCCGACGATGTCATATTATCCTCTGGGTAATTTTCTTCTTCATCTGTACATATCATATGCCTGTGCTAAGTGACCATCAGAATTCTCCAGTGAATATCTAACTCACCCTTATAAATTCCTGCTGTCTTCCCAGTTACCGAATTGGACCTTTTGAGGTAGAAAGTGCCCTGATGGAGCACCCTTCAGTTGCAGAGTCTGCTGTTGTCAGTAGCCCAGACCCCATTAGAGGAGAGGTAAAAGAACTTATTCATCTCAACTTTATAATCTGTTGGCAATCTAATGCATACTGTTAAATAGTACTTTGCTAAAAGAAATATACAAATGCTTTCTTTACCAAATGTACAAGTGAGATAAAAAATTTTGACTAAATGCAAGTCAGACAGAAATATGCTAGCTAGAAGGAACTGCTACAAATAAGACTGAAAGGTATACACTAGAATGAATTTGAATCCCTTCAATGAAGAGCTGGAGCAAAGACAGGATGGATGCCAGCACTGCTCACTCCAGGATGGGGCTACAGAGGTCAACTGGATCAAGTTGTTACTTGATCTGGAAACCAATAGTTCCTTATATTGCACAAGAGGATAAGCCAATATTGCGTATCAAGGGTGAGAGGAAGGTCAGAGGCAGAAACAGAGGCAAATATGAGCAGGCTAGGTAGGCAGATAAGTAATAGTTTCAGGGAATAAGCAGAGTCCTGAACGCCCACTATTGTGGGTGACCACATGGTAGTTTGGGCTTAAAGGTACCATTGCCATGCTCCAGGCCACTTTTGCCAGGCAAAGTCTGTTGGATTTTGCAGGTGTGTCTACAGCATGCCTCCAGGGTTTATCTGAGGTGGGCTACTTGCTCCCACAAATATTTCTCCAACCCACATCCCTTCTAATATTGAACCAATTTTGGAGATGATAGTGGTGTCAGTGCAAGTGTAGGACTTCCTCTTCCATGTATTTAAGTTTCTTATCTCAAATCCGAATATAGGGCTCAAGGCCCCAGATACATGACAGGGTTCAAGGTATTCAATCTTAGGGGATGAATAAGTCATTAAGGCAAGAGTGAGAAGTGTGTCTTCATGCACAGTGAGGGTGGGTCTCTCCCCAGGACTGAGTCTCCTAACTGGATCTTTGATGCCAGAGAACCCATAAGTCTTTCTGAATGGCCCAACATTGTTTTGCTGGCATGTGTTAGTCTGGAAAGCTGCTAGGATGAAAGCTCTTATTTCCTATTGCAGGTAGATGAGAGCAGAGAATAGATCAGTGATTACTGAAGTTTGTCTCTTCACTCTCTCCACTGGCAAGGTTTCGGGAATCTCAGTGTCTACCACACCGCTTTGCTACCATCAGTTTTATACACCTGAACAGGTGCTTGTCTTGGGACACAGTTTAGATTAGCCTCAGCAAAGGGAAAAGTTTGGCCAGTTTACTTTCCCAACACTGGTGGGCTGCAATATTTCCTGGTAGAAGATGCGGGTGGGTATCTCAAATGAAGTGAGCACTGCACAAAACGGCCATGCGCTGTATGAGGACAGCTCTTTTCTTTCTGGGGGCAAGCCTATTCTAACGAGGCTGGGTTGTTCTCCAGGTTAACGGACGAACCAGGTCTTTGATTAGACAGTATGTTCCAGGAGTGATCAAAAGCAGATAAAATGAAGACTTGAGGACAATATCCCAAATATTGGTCATTTTTATCTACCAGTCTTGCAATAGTGTGTACATTTTCGTGCTGCTGTTTCAAATAATCTTGCAGTTTTTTAAACTTTAAAACTCCCTAACACTATCAGCTAAACACAGTTTGAGTTTTTCATAAATATTTCATTTTTTCTGATAAATTATCCAAATGCAATTAAATTTAAAATGAATTACTCCATAATTTAACTCATTTTGATATTTTTAAAAACATTATCAGTTGACTTTCTCATTTTAATACTTTTAGAAATTGTACATGGTTACTCTGTTTCCAAATTTATTTTCACAAGGAGTTATTTTATCCATTTAACTCCATTTTCACAATTTTAAAAATGTGTTCTTTCTGTAAGCTTTCTTTAAAAACAGAATTTCCAATAGGGATAAAGGAATGGATACTTTCTAATTGTTATTTCTGAAAATAGTATTTAATTTATAAATTGTTTTAACATTGGAATGTGAAATAAAGAGCTGAGAAATATTTGTTGAAATGACTAGGTTCCTAAATGTTTTGGATCACACACCTCTTGAGAATTTGAAAAAGGCCATAGTTCACTGCTGTAGTTATGCAGTGATGGAAATGCTCTATATTTATATCATCCAATACAAAAACCACGCATGGCTACCAATCACTTGAAATGTGGCTGGTGCGACTGAGAAATTTTAATTTTATTTAATTGAAATTGATTTAAATTTAAAGTCACATATTGCTAGTGGCTATCATATTGAATGGTATGCCTACAGTCTTTCCAGAAAAATCCAAGATTTTATCTCAACTTCCAGGTTAAAAAACAAAATCAAGGGCTGGGGCTTTAGCTCAGTGGCACCACACCTGCCTCACATGCACAAAGTCCTGAGTTTGATCCTTGTACCCAAACACCGCCCCCAAAAAACACCCAAAAGCAAAAATCAAAGCCTATCTCTTGGTACTTTTGCTACTGTACCTAAGAGCTTTTTTGGGGGGGCAGTACTGGGGATCAAACTCAGGACCTATGCTTGAAGGCAGGAGTGGTGTCAATGAGATAAATTCCTGGCCCACAGCTATCATTTTTGATGACTTAACGTGTGCTAGGTATTACTCTAAACCCTACATCTGTATCAATTAACCCTGACAACTCTTACGGAAAAGGAACTGAGACACACAGAGATGACCTAATTTGCTCAAGATTTTACAACAAACTGTGATTTGAGCACAGGTTGTCTGACTTCTAAGTTCATACTATTAGCCATGTTAACTATGTTCCTTAACATTTTTTTGTAATGGTTTCTGAAGACTGTGAGCAAAGTCCTAAAAATAGTTTGCCTTTGAATCATTCAAATTATGCAAGGATAATTTTTTAAATTCATAAAAATGTTGAAAGTCACAAAGCCAACATTACCTAAAATAAATTTTATAAAATGTCAAAAATGAATAGGATAAAACTGTATCCATATTCATACATACTTGGCTGCACAACTGCCCCGTGACACATGTTAATTAGAAACATTCACGGATTTCTGAGAAAAACAAAAATGAGTAATTTCTCATAAAAGTGGCTCACTGGTGAAGTTTTCAATACGTGAAAAACTTATAACTGCCAAGTCTTCACTTCTCACCAAATGGCTGTCTTAAGTGATTTATTGCTTCATATAATTCATTCTCAGTCAATCCTGACTCACAGATCAGAGCATACAGAAAATGCTGCCAGTATCTTTAAGCTACACATATGAAACTGTAAATTTAGTATTTCAACCACCTAAGGGCAGGATTTAATCATGCAACAGTTGGAGGGGACTCATGGGACTATGCCCCTGCAACAAAGCATCATTCTATAGCTGGTAATCTGGATCTGAAGGTGCTAGATACTAACTCATTTAGACTCATTTAGAGTCAAGACTCCATGGGAAGCAGTGAAAGGTAAGGCTGGCACTGTCTCAGGAGAGAACATGATCGACATAACTCCAAATACACCTCTGAAGGGAGCTATACATAAGGTATACCCTTTCTGTCTTCTCCAAAACTCTAGGCAGGATTTTCCAAAACATTTCAATGACCTTTGGGGAACAGGAAGTGTGAGCACAAAGTGATGAAGTTTTTCCTGTCTTCTGCTGGTTAGAGAACTAGGCTACTATCATATTCACTCTTGTTCCTTAGAGCCAATGTAAGTGGGTCAGAACACACACAGTGGCTTTGGAATCTTCAAAGTCCCTTCAAAGAGAACATGGTCTCAGTGAGCTGTTTCCTTCAACAGGATATGGTAAACCCAATATGACTGTTTATAAGGGCTATCTTGAGAGTAGGGTCCTAGTAGCTAGGTCAGACCAGGCTGTGTTGTTACACAAGAGGCTCAGTGCATTGCCAACTTTGTAAGAAACTTTATGAAAAGAGATAAACGATGAGGTGAAAAGTCAGGGACGGATATAATCAGAAACAGGTCAGAAAGCAGATTTCAAATTGTAGTTAGATGAGAGGGTCAAATGTAGGTCATAAGCAAAACAGGGGTCTCGGAGGCTTTCTTGTACTAGGTATAGATCAGGATGTCTGGGAGTTAAGCGGTTCCGATCAAGCTCTATTTAACCGTCTGGTTCAGTCCACTAAGCATGAAGATTCTCAGAAAAGTAAATACGACATACTAAAGCAAAACAAAAAAAATATACAACTCATCTTTCTGATGTTTCAAATATTTATTTTAGGTAGTAAAGGCTTTTATTGTTGTGAACCCTGATTACAAGTCACATGATCAAGAACAACTGAAAAAGGAGATTCAGGAGCATGTAAAAAAAACTACGGCACCTTACAAATATCCCAGAAAGGTAGGCATCCTAATTATGATAAATATCCACTCAGCATTCTGAAAAAACTTGAGGTGTTTTTTTCCTTTTCACTGAACACTCTCCTCAAACACACTACACAAAATGTTCCAGATGTAACTAATGACATACAGATAAGAATTAGAATTGTTGCGACTACAGTAACACTCAATCTAATTTATTTGGTCATTTGGTTCAGTGGACTTGTAGTAAATCCTAAAAACCAAGAAAAAGCAACTGGGCATAGTGAGACACATCTGTAATCCCTGAATTCTGGGCTGAGGCTGGATGATCACAAGTTCGACAAGCCTGGACAACTTAGTTAGATCTTGTCTCAAAATGAAAATAAAAATAAAAAGGGTTGGAGATATAGCTCAGTCCAAAGGCCTTGGATTCAACCCCAAGTGCCACAAACAAACAAACAAAAAACAAAACAAAACAAAACAGAAAAAGAAAAATTTCAATAATATCCCTTTCTTTATATTTGTTTTACCAAAAACCAACCCCAATGGGTCCTCTTTCTTTCACCTAGAATTCATAATAAAGCCATTATATAATTGGTTTTATCTAAAGATAAAAACTTCTGGACTAATTTTCTTCTTCTTGATACCAACAGGTAGAATTTATTGAAGCGCTACCAAAGACTATCAGTGGGAAGATAAAAAGAAATGAACTCAGGAAAAAAGAATGGAAAAGAGTTTAAATTCATTCCATTAATCATTATAGTACCTACAAAACAAACATGGCATCTATAAATCTGTAGAAACCATAGGTTATGAAGAGGTGATAAAAATGTCATGGTGGTATGCTTACAAACTGTTGAATGAAGACATTTTATGGTTATGACATCAGAGGTTGAGTTTTGAAATAAAATATTTAGTAAATTACTCTGCATTCAGTAAACATTCCTGTAAGTAGGTAACATGAAAGAAAATGCCATCAATTGCTGAGGAATTCTTGAATGTATAACACAGAAGCAGTTTCTGAACCACATCTTTACTCGATTGGTTTTTAAACCTTAGTTGAATAATTTTGATATGTTGATATACAAATTATAACCAACCTTCGAGACTTAAAATAAAACTAAACAACTTCTAAGTATTTATTTTTGGGTTGTTTTTTTTTTTTTTGAGATAAGGTCGTGCTATGTATTTTAGGCTGGCTTTGAACTTACTACATAGCCCAGGCTGGCTTTGAACTCACAGCAACTGCAGCCTCCTGAGGGTTGGGATAACAGGTATGTGTCATCACATGTGGCCAGTTTTTAGGAAAATAAAAAATATCAGACTGTCATAATTAGCGAAGTATCTAACTGAAAATAGACTAGGAAAAAAAATTTTTTTTTGATACAGGGTCTCACATTATGGTTCAGGTTGCCTTGAACTCCCCATTTAGACAGGCTGGCTTTGAACCCATGGTGAACCTCCTGTTCAGCTTCCCAAGAGCTGGGATTACAAGTGTATGCCACCATACCTGACCTAGACTAGGAATTTTTATTAGTGACAACTTTTATTCAAATATTTTAAAGATAGTTTAAAATTTGTTTCAAGGTCTAACTATATGTACTATTGTGTCTGATTGTATTTAATCTAATAGAGTTTACAAAATATTTTATTTGTGGTTCTTCAAGAAAGTACGATAGGCTGGGGATATAGTTCAGTAGTAGCAAGAGCACGTTTAGCACTAGTGAGGCTCTAGGTTCTATACCTTGCATTGTAAAAAAGAGAGTGAAAGAGGGGGAAGAGAGAGAGAGAGAAAGAGAAAGAAAGCAAGAGAATATGAATGATAAATTAGTTCATATTAATATATGAAATATAAGTAAAACTGTAAGATATTACTACAATATTAATGTTTGGAAATTTAAGGAGCAGTTAGGATTTATACATGAACAAACACAAGATGAATGCTAGGTAACTGGTGAATGAAAGTAAAATGATATGAAATTTATTTTCTTTTTTTCAATTTGTGTTGTGCGTAATTGCTCCAATGTAGTCGACAGAGCTCAAATAAGTGTCCATAACTTTAGTCCCTGAGTATTTAAAAAAAATATATATTTTCTATACTAAAAGCCATACTGAAGTCAGGCATGATGGCACAAGCCAGTTATCCCAGCACTCTGGAGGCTGAGATAGGAAGATCACAAGTTCAATTACAACCTGGAAAACTCAGTGACTTAAAAAGACTGACTCAAAAAAAAAAAAAAAAAAAAAAAAAAAAAAAAAAAAAAAGGGG